CACTCACCCACCGTAGTAAATACGGGTCCATTACCCACCTGCATCATAAATTCAGCAGAACCCCATTAAATGCAACTGAAAACATGATTATATCTACAAAAAACAAAAAAAAAATTCCAACTACACACTTATAAACATATATATATCCTCATTTAGCATTTTCAACAAACAAAATTGGAAATAAAAATTTCTGGGTTTTTATATAAAAAACAATGTTGATTTCGAACACAATCAAGCTCCTACTGTGTTATAACAAAAAACTTCTTAACCAACTTCATTACTTACATGATCAATGCTTGTCTTGGCTCCAAACTTTGTAAATCAACAATATCAAAATTTCTCCAGCATCACATTCGTTCAGACTAATTTTTTTGTTTGATGGTTCATGCTTATCTCTTACAATTATTCAATTCACACATATAAACTAATATTACAACAAGTGTAATGATGAGTTTTGCATTAAATGTGACAAAAGTCTTGTCTAAACTTTTTAAGCATTAAATACTGATGTCACTTTGTTTTTTAATGTTATTATTTCTCCTTTTCACTGTACAGCCGCACAAAACATTAAAAAAACAAAATTATCTTAACCAAACCGGAATAGTGTACCTAACTGAACCGCTTAATTGAACCGTACACGGAACAATACATGGTTACGCTGTCAGGGGTAAAATGGTCAGATTTTGGCTAAATTGTCAAAACATGAGAACCAATTCTCACTTTGCCAAACCATGAAATTAAAAGATGGTCTTATGCCCTGGCCTGCAATTCACCCTAATAAGAATCCGATTTAAACACTTGTGTCTGATTAAAGAGTCATTGAGCTACAATGTAAAGAAGACTTGCAACTAATTCAATCATAAAAACCAAAAATTTCTTTGTTTAGTTAATCAAACCTTCAAAACACATAAAGGATGAAGTCACAAATTAATGTTGTTGTGCGGTGGATCCACCCAAGCAGCGCGGTCAGACAAATAAGTACATGTAGGGGGATGAGAGCTGTTCTCATCACCGAGGGAGTAGTATACGCCTAGTTGCCCATTGTGTGATGGATATATTCTGTTCCTCTCCTTTGCTGAGAGACCAGCTCTTGTAAAAGAGCCAGGTTCACTTGCAAATACTGTCAAGCCACCAACTTTTCTCTTCTCTTCCCATACCTTGCATGCGTTCAAAATTTAGTTTGAAAACCCAGGGGGTTTTGTTGCAGCGTAAAGTCATAACAAAAATGTCTCCTTCATGCTCCATTATGAACCCTGACTTATCGGGACAGGGTTTTACTGGAAGAATATTCCAAGTTTTTCTAGACGGGTCGAAAACCCCGATGTAACCGCAGTCACTAAGCCAATAGAACATACCATTTGAGAAGACACATTGGGTCCATTCACGAGGGGAAAAATGAATTGCAAAGAGATAGTTGGTCCATAATGTTTCACCAGGCCGCCAATACTTGCACGTCTTTTATAGTACAATGAGAGATCACCAAACAACTACTTGATGTAGGAGCGGCTGAGAAAGCCAAGTAATCATGTGGCTCCTCGGGTAAGTGTAAGGGTAAGTAGATGCGCTCCCGAGTAAATGGATTAAGTAAGAATAAATCTAATACCAAGGTGTGATGATATGTTTTGACAAGCAACCAACCATCCCTAGAATAACAGAATTTATGGTCATTCTCTAACACTGGAAAATTGAGCTCATGTTTTTGACACCGTAATGGATCAAAAAGAATGTAAGTTCCAGCTGGAGAGTATTCGTCTTCTGATCTTCTTTGTCGATAAAAAAGCGAAGGACGAGGCTCTAACTTCCGAACAGAAACAGCTGCTTCAAGCCATGTCTTTTAGACAGTAGAAGCTTTTATGTTGGCTTTTAATCCGAGGCGGGATAAAATATCATGTAAGAGATCTGTCGGAATATTTTGATCCCACGATCCTGTATAACACTTCCTCTTCGATCTCCGATCTCCTCTAGCGTTTGCATTGCATTTGAGAGAAGAAGACGAAAAAGATTTTAGGGTTTGATTAGTTTATAAGAGAAATTACAATGGATAAAGAAAAGAAACCCTTTGACCAAAAAAATAATGAAAGAAAAGAAAACCTAAACCCTAGAGATCATAAACCCTGAATGAAAGGAGAAGAAGAAAAATAGAAAAACTCACTTCGGGGATTCGTGGAACAATGACGGTGGAGTTTTCCGAACAATGTATGGTCGACAACGGCGATTCCTCATTATCTCCAAGTCTCTCCAACTGTAAAAGTTAGGTCAAATTGGTAGCTTTAAGTTTATTTCCGCACTTTTCGATTAATAAATGTAATTTCATATCTTTTTAAAAAAAATATTTACATGTTTCCTATAAACGATATTAAGACTTCAAATTACATATATGACCAATTAAAGCATAAATGTAATTTTCCATTTATAAGTTATTCTTAAATATCCCAGAAGTGATGGCGTGGAGTGGAGAAACCCTAAATCGCGTCCATCAGCCGCTCATTTGTAATAGAGAAGATGGAAGTGGAGAAGGTTGAGCGTGAGATTCCGAGGTCCGAGGTTATGGAAATACAGAAGAACTGCGATGTAAGAGCACTTGCAATGGCAGCTCTATGCGTCGTCCCAGTCCATTTATTTTTAAAAAAAAAATCAAAAACCCTCATTAAACACAGAACCGTTCCCACACGAGAGAACGTTTCTTCACCGTCCCTCACTGCCACGTGTTCTCGCGTGATTGGTCGCGTGTTTTTTTTGTGCCGTCGATTGATTTTCGCCTTCCTTTTCTCTCGTCGGCGAAAGCTTTGGCTCAAGCTTTGTCCAGCTATTTCATCTCCTCTTCTTTCAAATCGTGTCTTGTATTTCACTCTCTTCCACTCCGATCTGTTGTATCGTTGAATTGAAAAAGTTTCCACCAACAACCGATATAAACGAGGTAGGTTTTTCCATCTGAAATTTTCAGATTTAGAGGATTGTGGCATCAATTTTGATCTTCCGCTATGAATTGATTTGGATTGTTCTTTTGATTGGAATCAATTTTTGAGAATTAGAAGTGTGGTTGCTATAGTAAAAGCTATAATTGATTTTGTTTTACTGTATTGATCTTAAGTCATCAATTTGTTATCTTCTTTTATCGGATCTCATCTCTTTGGAATTTGTTATCTTTCTTGTGGCTGATTCGGATAGTCTTAACCTCGTAGACCAAAACAGGGTAACTTCATATACAAGCTCTGTTTTTTTTTTTCCGATATGGTGTAATCAATATAACTATGATCGAATATCAACTGAAATCATTCTTGGAAAAACCCTCCTTAACCTTATTTGTTAACACAATAGTTATGATGCTATAGAAGAATGTGTTATTTGTTGATACAATAGTTCTGATGCTAGAGAAGAATTATGAGTTATGTATTGTTTCATTTTGAAACGTCTAAGAGTTTCTGTTTATATTGTCCATTTTAGGCACTTGTGGATGCCCCTAACATGGAGAGAATCCAGATGAATTTAAAGAGATTGTCTCTTACTGACATTGTGATTGATATCAACAGAGTGCCCAAGAAGAAGAATTTGATTGAGGCAACGGACAAGGCTGGTGAGTTTGTTGTAGCTTACATTTGGTTATTTCTTGCCTTGTTTGGTTGGTTGGGTTGGGTCATCTGAATAAAACCATGTTGTGAATGTTTTAGTATCTAAGCCATTGGCTAGAAACCTCAAAGTCTGCGGGAACAAAGGTATAAATGCAAAGAATTCTTTCCATGAATGTTTATAGTAAAATTTTTGTAGAAGGTCTTTGTTATTATCTAGTTAATACTTAAAAGTTAAAAGCTGATGTGATTAACTTTTCAGGAGTTTTTTCTTCTCATGGTGATCTTGCAGAGGACTTATCTCATATCAGTGATGTTGAGGTAAGTTATATAATGTTTACCTTAACGTTTGATTGATGCTTATTGTAGCTCCCACAAATTTCGACACATGTATTTAAATAATCATAGCATCTCTCAACCTTTCTCAAGGAGGATATGATTTGTTCTTGTGGAAGTTTATCTAATTTAAATCCCATCTATGGTTTTAGTCTCTGTATACCAACAGGTGCATCAACCTTTGAATCTTTCTTATTGGTTTAGTCTTAAGCGAGTCAGGTTGAACTTATAAGGATTAGGTTGTGGTTTATCTGTCTGCAGGTCTTGGTTCTCAAGCAGAGGATATATGGGCAAAGGAAAACTGTCAGGGAAATAGTTGGAGAGGAGCAGATGAGTCTGAGAATGGTGGCACAACAAGAGGCTTTCACATTGGTGGATATTTTTGATGGATCTGATAAGTTTTTGTTTTTGTTTTTTTTTCCAACTTTTTGTAACTTTGTAATTTTCATATGTTTTCAATGTTAATAATGTTATATGTTTTATTTTAATTAAAACGTTTATATGTTTTTACTTATTAATTTAAATAATTAATTTTTTTAATATCAAAATATTATTATTTTATTCAGGGGACAAAATGTGAGGGACACCAATGCTAATACCAAACTTAAGAAACTCTGAAAATAATTTTATTATATTTGAGGGACCAAAATTTGTCCCACACCATTGCTCATGGTCTAATCTATTCTTTCTATCTTCCTTACCTAATTGTTTTTTTTATCAAATCGCTGCCTAATATATTTGAGCTAATAACTAACCGAGCTAATATTCTGTACATTTTCGCCAAAAACCATCCCCACAATCAGCCCCTCGCTTCCAAAGAGAAGGTGGAGAAGGAAAGTAAGAAGGTTGTAGTGCTTAACTTTGGACCTGGCTATATGAAACAACCGTGGAAATGGAGAAGCAGTGTAACGTTCTTCCGATGAGGAAAGTGAGAAGGTTGTAGTGCTTAACGTTCGACCTGGCGATAATAAACCACTGTACAAGTGGAGATGCAGATGCGATGTAATATATATTCTTTCTATCTACCTTACCTAATTGTTGATTATATTTGAGCTAATAAGTAACGGGTCTTACTTAGGAAAACCAAATATCCCGAGGTATTCAGTTCGTTTACGCCAATGATCATCCGCACAATCCTCGTCGTTTAATAGTCCTCCTTTATGCTAAGTTGGGCCTTCATCGTTACAATTTTGTCCATGTAAATAATAATTCTCTTTAATTTCTTTCTTATTAATTACCTATATCTATGTTGCTTTAATCTATTTCTTTCTTTTTCTATGAATCAATTACTCAATTTTAGGGGAAAGACTTGAAGCTCAGTAGCATATCTACATACCTCAAGTCCTCGGGTGTTACTAGTGCTACCTCTTACCGCATAACTTTCGATGCCAAGGATCCTCGAGATACCAGTGGTTCCCTTCAAACTTTTCAAACTCATGTTAATGAAAGAAGTTATGGCAGCTTCCTTTCAACGTGCACTATTGCTTGTCCTTTAGGTAAATATTTTTAGATATTATTCGTATAGTTTTCAAACCAACAACAAGTTATCAATCTTCGAGTTACTCTTTGTATAGGTGAAGTTACCATAGGTGGTGAAACCAATAGAGTCAGCTTGCATTCTTTCATGCCTGAGTTGCCGACAGTGAATCCTTTTCAAGATGATACAGACCGATTTTACGTGGTAAATCCTTGATTTTAAGACCACTTGAGTTTTTCCTTATTATCGAACAACAACATATTTATGGTTTTTTTTTTTCTTTTGGCAGCTGAAAAAATCAGAGGTTAAAAAAAATGACTGGATTCGTCTGTATTTGGAACTTTTTTTTTTTTTTTTTTTTGAATGAATGTTAAATTTATTCAACCAAAAAAGTCTTTTGTACAATGAATGCAACCTTAAATCGAATATTGTTTTGAAAGAATTCTAAGTATAAAACTAAGAACACTAGGTCCTAGATTCAAACCATAAGCGGAGTCCATCTTCGAGTTTGCGAGGATCCAAGAGACGGATTGAAGAGATTCTGTTGCGAATTATGCGATCAATAAACTTGATTATTTGGTCTGCAGCACTTGGTGATTCTCCATGTCTACGTTTGTTTCTTTCCAACCAAAGTGTATGAACAGTTGCTTGGAAAAGAATGCGTATAATGAAGCCAAGGGTACCTTTGATCGATGAATCTGATAGGAGAGATATGATCCCGGAGAAACTGTTGGTGAACCTTCTTTGAAGAAGTCGACTTGCCAGCCCCTCCCAGATCCGTGAAGAGAAAGCACATGAAAAGAAAATGTGCTCCTGAGTCTCCATCGGTGCTTGACAAAAAACACATGATGGGTTCACTCCCATATTCCAAGAGACCATACACTCACCAGTGGACAGTCTGTTTTTTACCGCAAGCCATGTCAGGAAAGAGTGTTTCGGGATAGAATCCGAGAACCAAACACTCTTAACCCAACTTATTTTTTGACCTGCAGTTCGAATTTGTTGCCATGTTTCTGAGGTGGTAAACCGAGCTTTGAACTTGTTATCTGGTCTCCTCCACAAGGATACGTCCGGTTCAGAACAATGTCCCCTGTTTCGAATTCGTTCAAGTTCCAGCTCTACCCGATTTAGAAAGTCCACACGATGATGCCTTGTTCTGTGATTTTGAAGAGCTGCAGCCACTGTTACTTCCGAGGAGATCCCAAAATCGATGAAACCTCTATCACCAAGAGTATCATGTAACCGACCTAGAGGGCACCAATGATCATACCAAAATGATGTTTGGAGCCCACTTTTTATCTCCATTGAGTGAAACTCCTTCGCCTGCGCTCTGTACTTAAGCAACTTCCTCCACATCCATGAACCCAAGGAAGTGGTGTCTTTGACGGACCAGAAGGAGCTAGACCGAATAAGCTCTCTTTGTATCCAGTTTACCCAAAGTGATTTTGAACCTGAAACGATCCGCCATATGAGCTTAAAACAACTGACCTTATTCATCTCAACAACAGATTTTAGCCCCAAACCACCTTCATCCTTTGGCTTACAAACATCCTTCCACATAACCTTATTTTTCCGAAAATTGAGAGACGGACCAGACCACAAAAATGCAGCACAAATTTTTTCGAGCTCTTTGACACAAGCAGAAGGCAATCGGAATGCAGCGATCCAGAAGTCTGTATTTGGAACTTGCAGTTGCCACAACTAAAATGGACCATATAAAACACGGTCTGGCCAATTTGAAGATTCTGAGAGTGGCTCTGGACACTACACCAGACCCAAGTCGTCCCTCTGAAAAGGGACTTGACGCCTATGATGCAATTTTCTACATTAGGTACACAGACTCATGCAAGGCTCGGGCTGGTGAGGATGTCGATCGCGTTGCTATAGTCAGAAGAATCTGGGATGAGAAGCCGGAAGTCTTTAGAATCGTGGGTTGCACTGAGAGCTTCGGATCATTAGGGAACGGTGAATCCACCACGTCTCGGGAGACAGTTTTGCCTGGCTCGAAGGACATAGATTCGATGGGACAATCTGACATGATGGTTTCGACGGACATGGTGGGTCGTACTCAGAGCTCACAAACCTTGGAAGCTGGCTCGTCGTCTGCACTAGACTAGACCAATTTGAATATGTGGATCAGAATAATAAACCCATCGTTGGTTGACCAAGTTATTTGGTGCCTTAGGATTGTTATATATGTGGATTTCTTTTTGTGAAACTTTGTGTAGTTTTTAAGTGTGTTGTTCTGCTTGAATACTTTAACATTGGTCGACTAAGTTATTTGGTGCGTTCGTATTGTTAAGTGGATTGCTTTTTGTGTTGGACTTTAACTTAGGGAAGGATTTGGAGACATTCTTCTTGCTTTCAGAATGCAAACTAAGACACAAAGATATATTTCTAACATTACCTAGAAATCAGAACTGCATAACAGAAACAAGAGGGTATTTTCAAAATTCAATTACACATAAACTTTAGTGGACGTTGATTCCCTTTAATAACTTTTTCTAGTACCACGTAACATTAAACACATCAGTTATAACCATAGTGAGCCCGTCACATTTTTATGTCTTTTCTCTAAAGGTATTTGCATATAATTAAGCTTTAGGATCTCCAGGTCTGTCCTTGAAGTTCTTATACCAAGCTATGAAAAGTAGTTTTCTATAAACTAGCAAGTCACACATGATCATAATGTTATAGTGTATAGCCATGCCTACTTAACCATTTTCGCTCTCTTCGTGCCAATTTTTTGTAAAACTGTATTTCAGTTAATACAACTTGATAGTATTGTAACATTGGCCGCTTCGTAACAAGAATGCATATTATACCACTACAAGAAATATCTACATTATTAGCAAGAGAAAAAAGCTATTATATGGCATCGATAGCGTTTTCATAAACGCTGTCTTATGCCCATGTTATGGTAGACTCCAACATACGATAGCGTTTTTAGAATTCTATGGTAGACCCCCACTTACGATAGCATTTTTGTATTATAGCATTAGTCGAATGCTATAATATACTTTATTATTACACACGTTTAGTGTTGTTTATATAATGTCGTAACATTTTTTCGTTATATAAATTTAATTTCTTGTATGAAATAAATTTTATATTGGAACCCAATTTTATAAAATTTACTTAATTGGACATATATATATATATATATATATATAACTTTTATATTTTATAAATCACCAACAAGTAATATTACATTAACCAATTAGCCAAACAAGTCTTACATAACATCATACCAAGTCTTATACTAACATCATAAGTCTTCAACAAAATAGGACTAACATCATATAGACAGAGACAAACTTCGATCTCTTCAATTTCTTCTCCTCTATCTTTTTGGCCTCCTCATCAAAAGCAGAACACATAAAACTTCGATCTGAACAATTGTTCCTATTAGCACTCCCGTCGATAGGCTACATGAAACAAAAGAACAAGGAGACAAAAGACACCATCTTAGAACACTTATTCACTAAGATGAAAAAAGAAATCGACACATGGGAATACTACCAAACATACACATATGTATACTACATACTTGGTTAGCTTGGACATAATCATGATAGCCTTCAAATTAAGCTAATATGGAGTTTAAAACTTCAAGAAACGTCTTACCACTTAAGCTCTTGCAACCACATGCAAGCTCCTTCTCCTAAACAATATATTCTGCAAAACCAAAAACCAAATTCATATTTCGAGAAGAAGGTTGATTTGCAGATGAGAAGAGTAAGTATCTTAGTAAGTATCACCAACAAACAATTTATTCTGAAAAAATTAGTGTAATGAAGTCAAGAATCAGAGTATATTGCAATAAAAATACAATCCCAATAGAACATAAACAGAAGAATAAATAAAGAGAGATTAAGAACATACATACCCATTCCAAGGGCAGAGAGTTCGACATCATTATACCGAAACAGTATTCTACATAAACAAGTTGAACTTTCAAAATAACATGAATACACTTGAACGAAAAACAACATAACATAAAATAAACTAAACTGTTTTCTTGAAAAGACACTACAAGAAATATGTACATTATTAGCAAGAGAGAAGAGCTATTATATGTCATCAATAGCGTTTTCATAAACGCTATGTTATACCCCTGTTATGGTAAACCCCTACATACGATAGCGTTTTTGGCATGTTATGGTAATCCTCCACATACGATAGCGATTTTATATTATAACGCTAATAGAACGCTATAATATACTTTATTGTAACACATGTTTAGTGTTATTTTCTTTTGCTATATAAATTTAATTTGATTTATAAAATAAAATTTATATTAGAACCCAATTTTATAAAATTTACTTATTGGACATAGTTATATATCTAACGTTTATATTTTATAAATCATAAATAAATAATATTACATTAAAAAAAAACAAGGTATACATAATATCATATTAAGTCTTATACTATTTACTAAACTATCGCCTAATCTTAATCAAACTAAAACTAACATCATAAGTTAAACGATATAGTCAACTTCCTCCTTGAACTTGGCTCCCATCTCTTCAACCATTCTCTCGTATCAACTGCTTGATCAAATTGTAAAACAAACAATATGTGATTAAGCATTATTTCAAAATAATAATTCTATTTGTACAAATATACAAACTTGAGTTATAAGATTTGGTGGAGAAAAGAAAACAAACTTGGAAGTAAGGCGTTTTTACTTTTTGCAAGCAATAACATGGTCTTCTACAGCCCCCATATAGCTGCTTTAAGGTACCAAAATTGATATAGACAAATAAGTTATGTAAATATGAAAGCAAAACACAAGATGATTTAGCTATTCTTTGAGTACATCTAATTTTAGCAAAGCTAAGTGTGTTTTCTCCAAATTTCCATAGTTATAAAGAATACGAAGAAACCTGAGGATCTGGATGGTTTTTTAATTCTCTGTTTCGCAGATGACAATGGTGATCATGAGATACATAGCCTCTTCTCGAGAATATTTTAACCTGAAAAAAAAAGAAACGTAATTAGATTTATAGCTATAAAACGAATACATCTCGCTTGAGCTTCATCTACCTCAAGAACATTGCACAATGAAAAATAAAAGAAGGATTACTATTACTAATACTCTTATTGATGAGTTGAACTAGACTATGCTGCAAAAAAATCCTTACATATACTATGTCGAGAGAGGATCCTCCATTATATCTAACATTACTATTAAAAAACTCAACATTTAAAATAGAAAGACACATTTTCTCATAGAGCACATCAAGGGATTGATCCAACAATCTTCTTCCTTGGCGTTAATAATTGAATAAACTTACTACAAATTAGAAAAAACAAATCAAGGTCATACCGTCTTCTTTCTGGCAGCGACTTTCACTCCTTTCTTCGTAAGCCTTGAAAATATGTTTCAAGACCCTCAAAGTTTCTATCATTAGCATCTCCTTAGCTTCCTTCTCATAAACGAATAAGTTTAATTCATAAATTAACTATAATCCGAAACAGATCTAATTCTCATTGAGGCATTATGTCGAACAACCTAAGTTCATTATGTATACTAAATAACCTCAAAGAGTGAAACTTTAAGCTCACATATATATTTTCAATCCCCAATACAAATTTTGAAAAAATAAGCAATGTTAGAAAGGAACAAACAATTAGTAAAGTCATAACTTATTGAGCTTGAGGAGGAAGACAGTGGCAGAGGTGATGGCAGTGGTGAACAAGTCGTTGGGAATGGTGGCGGGACATGAATCTGCACCAGAGAAACAAAACAAAGAACACAAGCAAAGAAGATTAAGATGCAACTTTGAACTACGATATCAACCAAAAACTAATACCAATATCGAAATTACTTTAAACCCATCATCTACCACCGGGGATACACCTCCCGTAATGGGTGGCATGGACCGTGAATCCCACATCCATCGGCATGCTCGGATCTCAAGCCATTGTAGCTTATCCACATCCACCGGTTGTCTCTAGATTCACAGAGGAGATCTGGGTCCCGTTTAGTCTCTGGTCTCACGGAGGAGACAAAGAAGGAGCTTTAGTTTCGTCGGAGAAGAGCTGTAAACCGTCAGAGAAGCTATCGGAATTCGGAACTTGTCACCTGAATTGGTTTAGAAATTGAAATCCAGTTTCAGAAAACCCTACTCTCTAAGTATCACAAGAAGAGACAAGAGAGAGAGATTAGAAGGTACCTGGAATGAATGGTGATGGCGGCGGTCTGTTTCGCCGAAGACAGCCAGCGGCTGTGGTCGGAATCCGTTTTTCGATTTCAATTTTGTTATCGGAAGGCAAGCATCATCTTCCATGTCGGGAAAGATAAATCTCGGAGGAGAAAGATGGAGATGCTTGCCAGAGAAAGGAGAGGAGTTCACCGGAGTAGATCGATGGTGACGTTTAGCTTCACGAACAAAGGAGATGAAGAGGTTGGTTTTCAGAACATTAAAGTTTAGCTCCACAAGATCTAGGTTTTGGTGTGGGGATTTTTTTTTTTTTCTTTTTTTTTTCGTGGCTTTGGTTATAGAAGGTGACACTAAAAAAATTTGGATCTGAGATATATGGCGCTTAAGTGAAAAACAATTTCTAAGTATTGGCGAAATAAGTGATTTTAGCTTCCCGCTTAGTGATTTTTTATCATAGTGTTGTTTCAGTGCTATTATATAGTAATCGAAATAAAACATTCATCTTTCATAGCAGTGATGAAAAATGAGCTATCTTCATGTGCTATCAATGTGGATATTTCTTGTAGTGAAGATAAATTTAGGGTTTAGTAGAAAGTTGGGAGAATAAGAGGATATTTTAGGCAGATTGACATTTAAGCAGTCAAGACATCCTCAAACTTGAGTTCTCCAATAGCAAGAAGAGGAATCTGAGTCTGACCTAATCAGTGGAGTAGGCTCAACATCTTGGGAGTTACAGTTTCAACACCATCCTCTGAGTCTGACCTAATCAGTGGAGTAGGCTCAGCATCATCAGCTCTATTGTCACTTCCTGTGACTGGCTCATTTGGGTAGACTACTACTGATTATGAAGCTGGTTGATGATTCTGAATGATGATCGATCACTCTCTTGCGATAACGGCGGATTTTGTTTCTTCCAGGTTCAACGTTCTTTGAAGATGGTTGCCAGTTTACCAGCGTGAGGAATATGTCTCCTTTTGAACACTCCAGCTTTTTTATTTACCTATAAGTCGACAACAAAAAAATATAATTACTTTCCAATTGATATTATAAAAAATCTAAGTAACGTTTTCTTTACCTTCAAGTATTTATCCCAGTCCTCTTCGGTTGCACCAAACTTGCGAGTATTGGCATCCCACTTCATGATGGGAGATGCAATAGTTTTACACCAGTTCTTCCAAGATTTCCTGGTAAGATCGAAGTGGTTTTCGAGCTGCTTATGAGTGTATCTAAGTCCTGTGATCCGATTGATTTCTTCAAGAATCATTTTCCAAGCTTCCTTTGTATAAATTTGGTTACGTCTGATTGGTCTGTTTCCTTTTAAATACTCTTGGAAACACACGTCCACAAAAATCGCATGTGAGGATGGTGGCCACTTAAACCGACGAAGAATTGCGATATCAGACGCGCTTAGCTTTGATTTATATCCAGTATCATTTACTTCATCACGATGCTCACATAATTGCTTCATTTTGCTACCTGAAGATGTACCTTCACCATCTAAGTTAATACCAGCAAAGATGATCTCTAGTTTCTTGAGGAACAAGGGAGGATTACACCGATACTGTCCAGCCTCAGGATTCATCTGTGACAAATCCAGTCAAGTACTTTTTATTACATATATATATATATATATATATATATTAGCCTTCATAAACAATCAAAATATCAACACACAAAAAGACTTTGTTTGTACCTCTAAATAGTTGGCCCATTCTTGATCACTGGCACCAAACGTGTTTGTGTGGGGATCCCATTTCATATATTTGCATTGAACAAGTCTACACCAAATCTCCCACTGCTTGATCATTGTATCCCAATGATTCATAAGTTGGTCTATGGTAAACCTCACACCCTTCATTTCTTTAAAAGCTTCCAATATAGGTTGTATTTCAGGTTGATTCCCCAACATCTTTTGCTCCACGCATAAGTCCACAAATACTTGGTCGTGTTCAGGTTCCCATGCGGCTTTCGACGTCATAGTTCTTTACTATATGCATAGTTAGATAAGTAAAGACGACAACAACAACAACAAAAAATCCAAATTATCAATATCATATTAAAGGCTTAATTTGACCGGTAATTCCGTTAAAATCGCGGGAAAAGTAGAAGAAAAAAATGGCGCGAATCGTGATATGATTGGTTAAAATCCCACAGGATCGCGAAATGATTTTGTCATTCAGTGGTTTGTCAAAACACAAAACAGTAACCAAATCTATACACAATATATATCCACATATGTATGGGAATTTTTACATCATGGCTGAATCTAGAACTAACCTTAGGACTTATCAATTCCAAAATTTTACTTCATGGCTAAAATTTTGGCATTTGCACTGCTAGAGATGGGGATTTCTTGTTTTTTTTTTTTTTTTTTTGAGATTATTATGCTTCTAAGGGCCCTATTTTATACCGGTTGGAGCCTGTTCTCTTATCGGAAACTTTTTAATTTGCATTGACTGATTTTAATTTTTTGCAAGAAAAAAATTAACTTATCTTCCTTTTTACTAATTGAGAAGATAGTCAAATTATAGAGTTTAATTAGGAGTTACCATAAGTTTACTAGCGAGATTAGATTTTTTTTGTTATTGTTGTATATGGAAGAAAGATACAAAATCATTGAATAGGTATATGAGAGATCTTTTTCTTGTGTTAGTCTAGTTAGACCATAATATTTAGCCTATGACTTGATTACCTGAGAGCTAAGAGGTTATAAAAGGAAGTTAGGCAGAATTAGTTGGGCATGCCAGACTTGGCTAGTGTTTTGGTTGAACATTGGTGGGTCGAGAGGTTGAATAATTCTTTTGTGAATCAAAGTCTCTCTATGTGTAGTTCTTTGGCAAATTGAATAAAGAACAGGTTTATTGGTTTTGATTTCTATCAGCGTAATGATTGTTTCCATTTAGCAAGAAGAGAAGGCCAAGGACTTGTTCCTAATATACTCTCAAGTAGCAACAAACCTTCTCATCAAAGGCAAGTCGTTGAAAGGAGATTTCAGATCGCGTTTCAGCTCGACGTTTTCGTGATACTCAAGCTCGCTGCTCTTGTCTTTTTGTTCAACTAAATGATGATGTTGTCATATATAACCATTTATCTTATTCAGAAGCTATTGCTATAACATAGCAGAAGCTATTGTCATATAATATGATGTGCCGAAGGACAAGGTAGGGAAGAAAACGATGCAAAGAACCGAGCTGATGCTAACGAGAATGAGAACGTAGTTGGTCCTGAAGCAGTGAACCAATGGTGGGGAATAGTGAAGGAGATTCAGATTATTGTTTTTTGATTCATAACTTTACTATTTCCTGGTTCCACAACATAGATTAGATGTATCTTCAAAATTCTTTTTTAGCACAAGAACTTGAACAAGTATTTCCTTGTAATCTAGGCTTTTCTCAATGTGAATCAATGTACAAAAATATTTAAGAAATTGAGCTCAATTTCTTTCATGAGTTTTCCTCTACATATTTAGAACTAACCATACTTCAATTGAAAACAGAAACTTTTCTCTTTTTTCTTTTACTCTAAAACTAAAATATTACATCAATGATTTGATCACAAGCAACTGGAGGATAGCAGCCTTAAACCTCAGGTCTGTCACTTCCTTGAATATATATCTCAATAGGGTTTCCGTGAATTGACTTCATTCGAATGTGTTTGTTCTTTCCACATGAACAGAGTCTATTATTATAATGACTAGCTAACTAAACCGTAGTCCTATGTTCGGACACGACTCCATGTCTTTCTTGTAACTATTCAAAACTAAACCTCAAGTGCTCATCATCAACGACTCCAAAGCCCCTTCACTAGAGGCTGCTCCACGCAAACGACGTCGTTTAAGTTTAGGCTGCTCCACACAAACGACATTGTTTAAGCTTAGGCTGCTCCACACAAACAACGTCGTTTAAGCTTATCTCTCTTCTCCCCTTTCATCACTTCCGAATTGATCTCCATCAATGGTAGAGCTCAATCGATTTATTAAGGTACAGTTTTGTCTATGAGCTCTCTGTAGATAAGATGTCAACGAGCTCTCTACTGAGCATATCAGCTGACTATTTCCTCTGTTTTCTGGTTTCTTGTACTACAAGAAACCTGCTTCTGCTTCATCCTCTCTTTCCACTTGTGTTAGCTCAGAGTATGAAGAACTTGGACAGCCTCTGTTCAACATTAAAGCTAATCTGGAGAGCTCCGTTCTTGCTAAGTCCATGCGGAGAGTGGAAGATGAGTAGCCAGCGAGAGTTTGTTGAGCTTTCATTAAAACGGACTGTAAATACTTTCCTTGTTTAATTTTGTAGTGCCTTTCTCTGGAGTCAAAAGTGGCTTGGGACTGGTTTGTACACCAAAGAGAGCAAGAGGCTTGGGAGTTGGGCCTTAGAAGACTTCACCCTTCTAATACAGTCTTTGGCCTCAAGCTTATTTGGTTGTTATTTGCTGGGAGAACTAGGTCACTATGGGTCTCTTGGATTGAAAAGGTTATTTTTTGGGGAAGGCTCTTTTGGAAAGAGCGTTTCCAGCAATCAGGCTGCCAAGTATCCGTTGAGAATTAGTGAAGAAGAACAAAACATTTGAAGAAGCTTGAGGAGGAAGAAACGACAGCTCAGCATTGCCAACACACACACTTGCAGGACCACAAGGATCAAGAGTAGCCGTTTGTTTGCGCTCATAAAAGCAAAAGCAACGAGGTAAAGCAACCCTTGTCCTTTTGTGAGGTTGCTGGTTTTGGCTAAGATCAAATTTGAATTGGTATACTGCCAAAGACCAAAAAGTCACCTTCGTGGAAGCTGCCTAAGGAAACTAGGGTTTAGAGTGTGTGTGTATATAAGCTGCGTTTAAGGAGAAGAGAGATAGACAAGAAGGACAGAAACAGAGAGAACTTCATTCATAGCATAAACTACTTGTATGAGAGTTCTTGGGGAAACAGTTGAGTGAAAGAGAGATAACCGAGAGAGCTTTGTAAAGGGCTTTGGGATGAGAGATCTCTTGTAAAACTCATTGATATAGTGGATTCCGGGAGACAGTTCCCGGCCCAGACGTAGCACCGTTGGTGTGAACTGGGTTAACAAAGTTCTTGTGTGCTCTGTTCTTAAACTCTGTTTTAACAGACTACTTGGTTCTTTACTCATCAAAGTAAGCATTTTGAGAACACTCAATCTCTTATACACTTAAGACCTTGGTGTGTTGTTGATTCAAGCCGAAAAGAAGTCATCTTTAGGCCTCTGTTTCTTAACAGTATCGATCACAACAAATGCGCATGAAGATAGGTGGGTGTACGAGATTACCATACAACTAGCTGATGTAGGAGCGGCTTGGGTAAATAGAAGCTCTCCCGGGGTTAACAAAGAGTGCAATACCGCTATCGTATGTTAGCAACCAATTAACCATCCCTAGAATAAATTAATCCATGGTTACTCTCCAACTCTGGAAAATAACGCTTATATTTTTGATACCGTATTAGGTCAAAAAAAATGTACTCCAGCTCGAGAGTATTCGTCTTCTCATCTTCGTCGATAAAAAAGCCAAGGACGAGGTTGTAACTTCCGAACAGAAACAGCTGCTTCAAGCCATGTCTTGTAGACAGTAGAAGCTTTTATGTTGGATTTTAATCCGAGGCGGGATAATATATCCTGTAAGAGATCTGTCGGAATATTTTGATCCCACGATCCTGTAAATGGGTAGCTTTAAGTTTCTTTCCGATTAATAAACTAGGATATGACCCGCGGTACACCGCGGGTTAATTATTTGATTTTTTTTATTCTTTTTATAAACTAATGAATTTGTTGTGTATAATATTTCCTGTTGTATCGCGGATCATATGCGTTGTATCTAAAAAATAAAAATTTTAAGTTGTATTTATTTTGTTTAGTGTTTAAGATTGTATAATTGTATTTTGATTTGTTAATTCTAGGATTTCACCCGTGGTATATTTTCCCATATTAATATCGACCCAAACCCATCCTACCATATAATTCCGTTCTGTGAAATTAAACATCATTTTGTTATTTTTTTAATAACACTTTTTTTAAAAGACATATAATTCGAATCAATTTAAAAGTTTGCTTTCAAATGGTTTTCATAATATATATATATATATATATATATATATATATTTTAAAAATTATGTGTTTTTGGACCAACCCGTAAAAATAATTTACAATTGTTATTTTGATTTTTAATTTTAGGATTTCACCCGTGGTATACTCTCCCGTTTTAGATAATTGTAGAAATTAAGAAAAGATCCGAATGACTCAATTTCGGGTCAGAATAAAAAAAAAAATGACCTAATTAATTGCGCAATTTGTTTTTCAAAAATGATAATATAAATTGCACACATACTTTTTTTCTTCATCAACTGAGTAATATATGTCCGTTTAAAAATAATTTGAATCATAACATATGCAGAAAAAACTAAAATTTACTATATGTATATATTATAATAATTCAAAATAATTTAAATATAACATCAAATAAAAGTGAAATGAGAATCATATATTTATGTTTAAATTAATTAGAGAGATTTTAGGAAATTCGCTCAAATTTGTTATATTAGCATTAAATCATCATATTTGATTTCTTTATCTATAAAAAT